TTATTCCATTAAAAAGTATTAAAAGTATTAAAAACTAACCAAAACTGAATAAAAAGGTTTATGTATTATCCCCAATTTCAAATCAGAAAAAGCATACATAAAGGACGATGATTTTTTTTCCATAATATATACTGTATCTATGTCATTCCTAAATTAGGGGCAGAATACAGAGAACATATTCATATTGCTTTTTTAAAATAGCATATTTATTTTAATACATATTTTATGCTCCAGAAACATTTTTCTTTACAAGCATATACCTTTATTATTGCAGAGTAATTCTTCATCTATGAATATTATAGACTTTACACTACTATACTATATGTGGATGGAGATTCTCAGTCATCCAGGTCATGACAGTCCCAAAGATGCTTTTTCAAAAGGCAACTGAACTTTCTTTCCAGTTGCCTTTTGAAAAAAGCACCGTTGGGACTATTATACTGTATTATACTATATACATACACAAATTTCATCATTTAGATCCCAGTTTGTTCAAGAAATATTGCTTTATTATCTTCTTGGTAAGCATGATGGGTTCTGCTCATTCTCTTTCACTATGGGAACATACATTTATTACATCTGAAGCCCATTTTGTGGTCTTTTAAAGCTTTCAAAACAAGATTTCAATATAACAAGCATCCATTTAAAAAAAAAATCTCCCATATCTTTTAGAGTACATTATAATCTTTTGAATGTTTTAAGATGCTTTGCTCCATTAGATTAAATTTCCAGTTCAACTGTGAAATTCAGTACAACTTCATCATATACTAAAATTAAATTCTATCTTGATTTCAGTAGAACTTTGTCAAGTGTCTGAAAGCTTAAAAGTTTTAAGATTCTTACTGCAGCTCCAATTGTGAAGGTTGCAATGACTTAAATAAATATGGTCAATATTTTATATGTTTAAACATCATATGTTTACAGAGCTAGACAAAGAGTTGCATAAATCTAAAGGACCTTGAAAAAATTAAAATTATAAATATATCTACTAAAAATAAAAAAACAGATCCTTTTTATCATCTCAGCAATGATTGCTATTTCCTGATTTAATTGTTAGATATTTCTTTAATTATATAGCTGTATTACATATATTTCTGCATTTGCTACCATAGTCTTTGTCCAACTCAAACACTATATTGTGAATCTATACGTACTTAACATTATAATATAAAACTTTATAACAGTAACATTGGAAACAATGTCTATTTGTTTTTATCTACCAGAGAATTCTTGATGGTTATCAGGATAGCTCTGAGCTCTTGGCATCCGGGACTTAAGATAGTTCTCTCTAGGAACACAAAACATTGCAATATTAAATTCTTAAAAACTAACAGCCTCCTGTATATAGTTAAGAAACTATGACTTACAGAGCATAGCAGAAAGACAAAATATAAATGATTCTCACCCATCTAAAGGGCTATCAAGTGAAGGACAACTTCCTGAGCCAGAATTTTCAGGGCTACTCAGTGATAATGGATCCAACATCTGAAAGAAAAGCACAAAAAATTTACTGCAAAAATTTGATTAGTTCAAGGCACATCATAAATGTTAATCCAAAATTTAAGGAGAAAAAGTGGGAACAACCAAAAAACCCCTCAAGCTACCAGATATGCACGTAGAAAATCCTTTTGACAAGAGAATACTTACTAAGTCTTTTTCTGGAATGAACTCGCCTTCACTATTGATACTAGTGAATGATCCATTCCGTGCCACATGATCATCTGGAATGTATCCTGGAGGAGGAGAACTGCTGTCACGAGTATAGCCTGTTAAATTTTTTAGAAATGGAAAAAGATAATAAACAAACTTACCATCAAGAATCATTTATTAGTTTAAATTTTTAAATCAAATAATATTATTTTCTTCTGATCCTTCAGGTATTTTCTATTATTTTAAATTATGCATGCTGGGAGGCAAACAACTTTAGTTTAATATAGAACAATTTCAAATATAAAGAAATACAGTAAGTACTTCTGTAATTTTCTATGTGGTATATAAAGTATCAGAGGGAGTTATTTTACACACTGATACAAACAGGTATACACTGTCAAAAATGCTGAATGCATACTTTCAAAAAAATACTTGTTTTTTCCTCCTCCTTTGTTCACACAGTATTTCAGAATGATACTCCTTAATATCATTGATATTTTCCAACATAGAGTGGTTTTTGGTGTTTTATTTTTAAGTATTCAAAACATATTGTTTTCCCAGATAAAACTACAAGTATAGAAAAATACATTTTCCCTTAGTTCAGACAATTTTCTGATGCTGATTATATGTAATTCCCTCACAGAATACAAAATTGTGGAATACTGGTCTACAAAGTGACATAAATTGCACAGAAAATATAAAATATTAGTCATTATTTCCACATTTTTTTCATCTTGACTCTATTTTGGAATTTTTTTATTGATATGAAATATTCACATCAGTTTAAATAGAAAATACCTGAAGGATCAGAAGAAAATAATATTACTTGATTTAAAAATTAAACTAATAAATGATTCTTGATGGTTTGTCTTTAATCTACCAAAACAATTAATCTGCCTGCTTTAATTTTGGCAGCTTTCAGATGTGTAAGTATGAAAATTATGGGCAGGACATGAAAAGAATTAAAAACTGAATTTGAAAAAGCTATAGGCATTGAGACTGTATCACATCAAAATTTCTGTTGTCAAGGGAGACATTTGTTAAGTGAATTTTACTCCATTTACTCCATTTAATCCACTGTCTTGCCGCATTTGTTAAGTGAATCACTGAAGTTCTTAAATTAATAACGCAGTTGTTAAGTGGATCTGGTTTTCCCATTGATTTTGCTTGTCAGAAGGCCACAAAAGGTCATGTCCCCAAGTGTCTGAATTTTTTTTAAAGTAATCTTTATTAGTTATACATTTTTTTAAGAGTAAAACATACAAATACAAATACAATTT